TTGACTTATAAATGGAGTGCTGTGTGTGTGGAGAGGGACAGTGCCCTGGGGAGTCAGTGCTGGGCAGCTGCTCATCTCCTCTTTGCTCGCCATGTGCACGCAGGATGCTGTTCCCAGGACACATTCTTGTGGATGCTGAATGCTGCAGGCTTCAGTTCTCACCTGCTAGTACGTGGCTGGCATCATGCTGTGGGCAAGGTGGTTTTGCTGCTTAGCTCTCCTGACGTCTCCTTGCCCTCGTCCCCAGGTTGGGGTTTGTTCCCGTCAGGGGGTGCTGGGGGAATTTTGCCTTCAGTTCCTTACTTGGAGAGTTGGTTTTCAGTGTGAGTTGCTGGCCTGCTTCGTAGGGCAGAGTCTGAGTGCAGGTCAAGTTGGTCTTTCAAAGGCCTTGGCAGAAGCATGTGGTTTACTTGTGGCAGATGGGGACCCACAGCATGGGGGCAGATGCCATAAATCATTGTTTGACAATTAGAAACTCTAGAGAGGAAGACAGCGTGGATAGAAAACTTTGGGCTAAACAGTTCATGTTAGCTGAGTTTTAATGCTCTAAAGTAGTCAGCATTCTGTGCATTGAAGAAAATGGTTATTTTTTCTTGCTGAAAACTAGAGAGGCAGAAGAAAAATCCTGTGATCTCTGTCTTGTCTTCAGGGTTTTTAACTTTATCCGCATCAGTAATGTTAACAACCATTAAAAACTCAACTGGATGGGTTTTTTGACATACTTACTTTCCACATTCTGAGCTCATGTCCCTGTGCCTTTCCAGTGTCCCCTAAATGTCCTCAGCGACCCCTCTCTGTGGTACCCACATCTCCTCGTTGTGCGGTTCCTGAGTGTCCTGGGCGCCCCCTCATCTCCTGGTTGGACTGTCCGCAACTGTCCCTGGCGTCTCCTCTCTGTGGTGCTCATGTCTCCTGGGTCTCCTGGACCCTCTCCGCGGTCACTCATGTCCTGGGTTCCATTCATCCCTTTTGTTTATAGCAGGTCCTATATTAAACCTCTCTATAGAACTTAAGTTTAAAGAAAAAGAGTTAAGGTGGGTTGCAGTGGCTCGCACTTGTAATCCCAACAGTTTTGGAGGTCAAGGCAGGCAGATCACCTGAGGTCAAGAGTTTGAGACCACCCTGGCCAACATGGTGAAACCCTGTCTCTACTAAAAACACAAAAATTATCTGGGTGTGGTGGTGTATAATCCCAGCTACTCGGGAGGCTGAGGCAGAAGAATTCCTTGAACCCTGGAGGTGGAGGTTGCAGTGAGCTGAGATTGCACCACTGCACTCCAGCCTGGGTGACAGAGTGAGACTCCATCTTAAAAAAAATTATTTAATATATTTATGAGGTATTACAGCTTTTTTTGTTTGCCCTAATTTTCACATGTCCAAGAAGGGTTTTAGTGGCTTGTCCATGAAAAGTTTCCATTTTTCATTTGGACTAAATCTGTTTTTTTGTTTGAAATAAACTCCCAAATGCTTCCTTTAATTGTACCATTAAGGAAGTGTTTCTCAAAGGGAAAATTGAATAGTTGTGGTAAATATTCTCTGCAGGAAATCATCCTTGGTTGATTTTGCTTAGCTGAAGTTAGGTTTACCATCAGGCTCTGTTGTACCAGGGTGGTAGGGTTGTACCCTGTGTTGGAGTGTGTTATTGTGGCTGGTGATAAGAGGTCAGGGTTAGCATCAACCTGTTTTACTGGGGTTGTGGGGTTGTACGCTGTGTTGTTGGAGTGTGTTACTGTGGCTAGTGATAAGCAGTTAAGTTTATCAAGCTCTGTTGTACTGGGGATGTAGGGTTGTACCAGGGCTGTAGGGTTGTACGCTGTGTTGTTGGAGTGTGTTACTGTGGCTGGTGATAAGCAGTTAAGTTTATCAAGCTCTGTTGTACTGGGGATGTGGGGTTGTACCAGGGCTGTAAGGCTGTATGCGGTGTTGTTGGAGTGTGTTACTGTGGCTGGTGATAAGCAGTTAGGTTTAGCATCAAGCTCTGTTGTACCGGGGATGTATGGTTTTACAGGAGTTGTGGGGTTGTACCCTGTGTTGTTGAAGTGTGTTACTGTGGCTCGTGATAAGCAGTTAGGTTTAGCATCAAGCTTTGTTTTACTGGGGATGTAGGGTTGTACCCTGTGTTGTTGAAGTGTGTTACTGTGGCTGGTGATAAGCGCCTGCGTGTTGGGCACAGGCCTCAGTGCAGCTGTGGAGCAGGAACGGCACAGAAGAACGAGCTGTGGTTGCTTTGGCAAAGCACTCATGCTCCCGTTGGGGAGACCTGCTGAGAAATGCTGAGTGTATGATAAAATATATTGTTTGCTAAGAACAGTGGCAAGAAAAACCTAGCCACCCCCGCCCTCAAGTGGAAAACTGCTTGGGGCATTGTAAAGTAGCAAAACAGTACATGTAAATCATATGACGGTTAAAACACGGGATATGTGACCTGCCTCTGTGGCTCCCTCAGGGAGAATACTTTTTAGTTTGTCCTTGATGAGTAGTAAGCAGGTACCAGCTGCCTACCTGGTTTATCTTGGTTCTATGAGAAAACACTGAACACCTGTTTGTTAATAATCACCTGTTCAGAGAGACTAAATAACGTGGGTCAGTGTCTTCTCGATGCCCTCAGCCTGGAATGCTGTCAGCCCCTGAGGCTCTCAGCTCGGAAAGCTGTTGGCCCCCGGATAGTCCCACTTTGCTGTTCTATCTGGGTGTCTGCTTCTTAATGCCTTTCAGTGCTGCCTGGGTGGGGGTCTCCATGGCCGAGCTGGTCTCAGTAGAGACTAGCCTGGATCTTGTAGGAAACGCCATCACGAGACTTGCCAGGAGGCGGTGGTGCAGTGTGACAGGAGGCACCCCAGGTGGGGCGAGGGTGCAGAAGGAGAGTCCCCACCCTTGCCTTAGAGCATGGTAAACCTTTACTGTCCTCACGGTTTCTGTGGGTTGGGTTTTGGGGGCGGCATAGTGGGACGTTAGGGTGCAGTCCTCACGCTCCCTGAGGTTAAATTGGGCTGAGGGGCCCTTCTGAGGTTTGGGCCTGTGCCGGCCTCTGCCTGGGCCTCCCCAGGAGTGCTTGGGTGTCCTTGCGCTGTGGCAGCTGCGTCTCCCAGGGTGCGTGGTGAGAGCGAGTGGTGCCACAGCCAGGTGGAAGCTCTGGATGGGACCCTGGGCAGGAAGACGCTCAGCTGTGCCTCTACCCCGTTTTCCTCATCTGAAGTGTGGCAGCACGGACAGATCGCTTGAGCTCAGGAGTTTGAGATCAGCCTGGGCAACATGGTGGAACTCTGTCTCTACAAAACATAAAAAAATTAGCTGGGTGTCATCCCAGCTACTCGGGAGGCTGAGGTGGGAGGATGACCTGAGCTGAGGATGCGCCACTGCACTCCAGCCCGGGTGACAGAGCTGGACCCTGCCTCATAAAAACAAAAATACGACAACGAAGTGTGACATGGAGTCTGGCCCACGTTCACGGGAGGGGGAATCAGCCTGACTTGTAAAGAAGGGTTGTTGAAGTGTTAGTGGAAGTGTTTTAAGACCACAGCAACTTCTTATTTTAATATTCTCCCTTAGATTCTTAGGACAGTTGAATACATGCTGAACCGGCTGCCCGATGCTCTCCTTTACCAGCACACACAGTGTGGATTCTGTAAAGGCTGGCGGTCGGGAGGCAGGCACTGTAGTTGTTAAACAGTGCTGGGTGACTGAGACACAGAGACTGAGGCTTCCTTTCCACAAGTTGAGGGTTTAGCTGAAAGATGAAAGATGGATTATCCAATGAAGAGCAAACACTTTCAAACATCACAGGAGCTGAACGGCGTTTTAGGGTGTGGGGCCTTTCTTGGCTTTTCTCAGTGCAGCCCCAGCTCTGAGGCAGCAGTGCTCGGCATGTGCTAGGGACTTGGTGTGTATTTGCTGAATACAAGTACGGGGTCTTTGGGGGCCATAGAGACAGGTGAGCTTGTGGGCTGACTGATTGTCTGGTGTAAACAGACAAGCGTGATAGGGTGGTCCACAGGGCAGGCAGGCTTTCTCTGGTGACTGCGGTTTGAATATTCATTCCACGGTGTTCAGTTCCTGTTTTATGACCGGCTGTTGACAGGACTTTAGAGCTGAAAGCTGCTGAGCTTCATGATGCCTCAGTGTCCTCACTGGAAAAATGGGGCCGATAACCTTAGTAGGGTTATGAGATTTAAATATTGTGCTTGATTCAGGATAGCATCGAGAAGCAGCAGATGCTACACACATTTCTGTCTGTCTGTCATACATCCCAGCTGCTGTTGCTGTGTAAAAGACTGGTACAGCAGCCTTCTAAGTTTCTTATTCTGTGCATCAGGCGAGCTCACAGCAGCGGGCTTAGTTCTGCCACTGATATCTGGGGCCTCGGCTGGGGAGACTCAAGGTTTGGGGGTGCGGTAACTCATGAGGGGCTGTTGGAGCTGTGCCTCTCACGCATCTGCCCTGGTGCTGGCTGTGAGGGGCCCCTCCTGACCTGTGGCTGTGGTGTCTGCAGGGGCCTCTCCCCAAGGCTGCTTCCCTTCCTCACAGGAAAAGCGTCTGGAGCTACAGCCCAGGAGGCCCACAATGCTGTCCTGGGTTGAGCCCAGCGGCCGCAGAAGGAGCACACACTCCCTCTGTGCGTGCAGCATTTGGGATGAGAGTCTTATGGCTGTTTTTGGAAAATACAGTGTGACAGAATATATTTTAAATCCACAGAATATTTGTTCTTGATCTGTTGCTCAACTGCCATTATAACTTGTTTTCACTTTTCTTTTGTAATATTTAATAATTTTGAAGTAGCCAAAGGGATGCATTTTATAATGTGTAATTTTAGACTACTGAATAATTTCTTAAAATCTGTATTTCTGTTACCTTTTATTCAAGGAGGTGGAGAAGTATTTTCTGATATGTCAAGACTTAACTGCCATTGATTTAGATGGCCCAATGGAAAAGCAGCTCACTAGAGCACACAAAATTAATTATTTTAAACTTTAAACATTCTAACTTTATACTTTTCTGTTTAGAGAAGAACCAAAGATGATACCTGGAAAGCAGATGACCTCAGAAAACATCTTTGGGTAATTATTGTAAATAATTTAGATTAGGATTATGAATAATTAGATTGGGATCTATGTGGGACTTGTGTGGTTTTCTGGGACTGCTTTACCTGGTACACAACATTGCATAGCTTTGGTTACGGGTGCCTCATTTCAGAAGTCCTTTCAACTTGGAGATGAAGGCGTGCAGCTAGTAATCCGTCTGGACCATTGTTAATCATGGTGGACACTCCCACCTGCTCATAGGGCCCTGTCATGGCTCAGGTGCAGGGGGTTCTCACTTCACGGGGCAGCAGCAGTGGGGTGGGAGTGGGGCTATGGAATTGAGATAAAGTCCTGAGAGTTTTAGAATGAGGGTTCTTGTTTGTATAGAGCCCAGGCAGTTTGTGTCTCAGTGACTTAAAAATACAGTTTTAGTATCTGTCTTTTA